CCACCACCTCTGTCGTGGCACCACCTCCCTTCCCTGCCTGCAGTGGCAGGAGCAGGGTGATCAGAAGGAACTCCCTGCTGGGCAAGGGGGGGGCCAGTGTTTGGTGTGTGCTAATCCCAGGCCTGAGGTCTTCAGAGGGACCTGGGAAACTTCAAGGAGGGAAGGCAAAGCTGCACTGCAGACGAGCTCATTAGCCAGCACCCCCACCCCACCAGGAGGAGGAGGGCGGGCAGCCCAGTGAGCGTGGCGGCAGAGGCGGCAGAGAAAAGGCTGTCACTGTCCTTTCTTCCTTTTGGTACAAGCATCTCCCTGAGCCGAGGATTCTCCCGCAGTGACACCTCTCACGGGCACTAATGAGGTCTGTGTCACAGAGCTAATGCCTTCTGACTGGACTCTGATAGACACCCCACTCCTTTAGGGGAGACCACAAGCCAGAATTGCACCCATGCCAGGGCCTGGCCCCACCCTGCCACCCACCAGCCCAGCTATCTGGCCAGACTGTGATGGGCAGCAAGCTCACAAGAGTCTAGGTGACAGGAGTCCTTGAGCCTCAGAGGGCCGCCCACAGCAAGTTCTAGAACACAGAAACTAAGCTCCCACAGCAGGACCCAAGCCCAACCAGCCAGGCATCAGGGAAGGTCCGAGTTACTCTCCCAGCCATCTGGAGCCAGCAGTCTGTGGGTCTCCTTGCCATGATAGCAGGTGTGCCTCTGCAGAATCCCAAAAAGAAGGGGAAGGGTCCAGGCCCTGCCTTAGAGGGCTCAAAGGTGAAGGAGCTGGCCCTTGGCTCTGACAGATGACACGGGGTCAAGCACACCTTCTTCACGCTCACATTGACAGGGCCAGGCAGAGCCGCAGAGGCGGAGGCCCCTGAACAATGGGCAGGGTTTTCCTGGGCGCAGATCAAACTGCAATCACAGAGTGAAGCCATTGGAGCCTGGCTACAGCAGGTCTGACGGATGGCAACGTCATCTTCCCTTTCCCCCTCGCTCTCACTGCTGAAGCTCTGTCGACGCCTGCAGGTTTCATGAGGCACTGAGAGAAATCTGCAAACTGAGCTTGTCTTTTTCTATAGCATCTTGCTGGGAACACAAAGCCCAACATCATGAAAGCACCTCATAAGTCAACACAATGATCAGCATACAGGCTTTCCATTTGGATGAACGTGGGTTTGAATACTGGCTAAGCTCAACTGGCCAGAGCTACAGAACTGAGCCTCGGTTTCCTCATCTATAAAAGGGGAATGTTGACGCTTGCCTGTGAAGACTAAATCAATTAACAGAAAGCATCCCAATATAATGTGAGTGCTTTGCTGACCCTTTGCTGAAATGAAAAAAAGGGGTCAGTTCCCCTGTGAAGGATGCCCTGCCTCACAGCCTTTGGCCCAAACTCAGGTTGCTGGTAGAACCACAGCAACCGTGGAGGTCAGCAGGAAGCTAACACACATGCAGTGCCCCTAAACCTATACAGCCAACACACATACACAACTCCAGTGCCCCACACTCCCAAGGCCAGACCAGCTAGCCCAGGAGGAGGGTCGGCAACAGTCCAAAGGCCTCAGCTGCCCTGCCCTGTGCGCCACTCACTGCTTCTTGGCCTCCTCAATCATCCTTCAATCCACTTTCTCCCTCAGTGCCCACAGCTAAGCTCACAACTCCACCTCTGAGCTCTATGGCAATGGGGTATCATGGCTGTCATGTTTACCAAGTCATTTCTTTTTTTTTTTTTTTTTTTTGTCTATTTTTCTTTTTATCGGTACTGGGGATTGAACTCACAACTGCCTGCTTGCAAGGCAGGCGCCTACGCCACTGAGCTAAATCCCCAGCCCCCTACCAAGTCATTTCTAGCTCTAGTCGAAGCTCCTAACATGGGGTAGACGCAAGGTGACTGTTCAGTAAAGAAAGAAAAGTTTTACCTGGTCCTTCACGCATGGCCACTACCCTGGCTCTAAACTACGCATCACTTCTCGCTCACCTTACCTTCTTGCTCGTCCCCGTTGGCCTTCCTGTATGCAGACTCTCGCTAGGTGTTCCCACACAAGCTAATAGACTGCTCTGACCCAAGCCCAACTTTGAATGAGTCGCTCCTCGTGCCAACACTCCCATGCTCCCCTCGCCCCTCTTGGGATGCACCACTATCCTAGCTGGCTCCTCCCCTTCTGCAGTCTTCTCTCCCAGTCCTGCTCTCCCTGTTACACCCTCTGTAAGCCTGCCTCCTTGCATTTTCAGCACCTCCATCCTACCAATGCCATACCCCTATGGACCTGTGGGTGAGCCAAACACTCTGCCAAAGCTGAGCAGTGGAATCTGCAAAACCTTGCCCAACATCACCCAATGCCGCCTCAACCCGCCTCCACCAATATACATACCACTTCCCACTCCAGGATGGCAGCTCTTCACACAGTTAATTAGCACCATGTCACTGAAGACCAGCCTGAGTGGCCAGTGACAGGAGCTGACCCCTGACCCCAGGGCTGGGAAGCAGTCCACATCAAACTCTTACAGCGCGACCCTTTTAGCACGCACAGTAACTCAGGGCACCGGCAGCTGAAGCTCATTAAAGCTGTCTCTTTGGCACTAGGGCCATTAACCTCACTGCTCAAAACCCACGCCTCCCCTTCCCGCCTCTCCCAGCCCAATTAATGCCCTACATACTCCCTCCCTCCCAAGCATCCTCACCCATACCTCAGAGTCAGCCAGGAGCTGGCAGGGCAGCCCTCTTCATTCAAAGTCTGCAAAGACCAAGGGCCAAGAAACACCAGTGGTCGGGAGTGTGGGCAGAACCACAGAGGGAGCTCCCCAAGTAGCCACTATGGCCAGGCACTGCACTAGCCCTTTACAGGAGTTATGCACTGAATCCTCCCAACACCCCTCAAAGGAAGGAAGCACTGCCTCTTGTCTAAGGTCCCATGATTCTGCATTGTCCCAGAGCTACCTTGAGCTCCAAGGCCTGTACCTCACTGTCACTTAGAACTTTGGGTGGCCCTAGAGGCCCATCCAGATGGGGGAAATACTGCAGAGGTCTTAACTTAGGGTCACAAGGGTGAAGACACAAGAGGGGTGTCACTGAGATTCAAAGGCACAAAAGAGTGGGCAGAAGAGCTGCTTTGCCTCACAAATACCCCCGAGAACAGACATACTGCAGCAGGACGTCAAGCTCAAGGCTGTGTAGGATGCTCCTCCCACTGCCAAGCTCCATTTCAGGCAGTCCCTCCTACCCTGGACCAAGACAAGTCTTCCCACTGGTCCTCTCTTCCTGGTCTCTCCCGTTCTCAATACTTTTCCACTGATTTCATTTACTCACCCAGCTTTTCACTCATCTATCTACAAGCAGTTACCAAGCATCTACTAAGGCCTAGTTTTAGGCAGCACAAATGGTCTCAATGATCCTAAATCAGAGCTCTGATCACATTCTTTCACTTGCCAACAAGTCTCCTCTAAACCTCAAAACAAAAACATACCCTTTAACCAGGCATTCAAGGTCCTGCTTATTTCTCCATTTTCTAGCTATTCTCTAGCACACCTTTTTCTACTCCGATCTCAGTAAAATGCCTGTAGACGTCTGAACGTGTTTCTTAACATGTTGAGCTTTCTCATGCCCCTAGTCCTTTCATTTTTTCTGGTCAGCAAACTCCTATTTATCCTTCAAGAATCCCAACATAAGAGTCTTTCCTTCTAGGAAACTTTTTGCTGACCTCCCAGGCATATCATCTAGCTGTGTTTGGTTTCTTCTCTAGGTTGCATGGAAAAACTTCTATAGAAGGGAACAGCAGTAATGGTGAGGTACTCTAAGTTCCCTGGGCTTGCTGACCACTTCCTTTTCCCACTAAGCCTTAGGAGAGCCTTGGCATGTACTAACAATTCTCTTCTCGGGATGTGAGCTCCCTGAGGACAGGAACTCTTATCAGTATGCACAGCACCTCTAGGCACCAATGAAAATGAATGGATGAAGACACTAGTCTGCAACTGGTACCTCTATCTCCCATCCTTCTCGTATCTCTCCATCCCCTACCAATGACATTTTACCAATAATCATGGCATGGCAAGGTCCTAGTGCACCCAGGAACATCTTGGCTCCTCCCTACCTAGAACAAAGCCTATGCTTGGTCAAGCCTGCTACCTGAAAACATCTGCATGCACATATAGGCATATGCAAACAAAGTAAGATAATGTGGAAAAGAACAGGCACTCTAACGGATATATCCACAAGCTAATTATTGCTTCCATATACAGACATGTGTCCTTAGAAAAATACAGAGGTAGTGCTATGCATATACACCTCCAACAGATACGCACAATTATGGACACATGATATTCTTAGACACACAGAGACACACAGCTGAAGGTGTCACTGACAGGCAGACAGTGATACTCACAGACACATATTTATACTGCTGTATTAGAAGCCTGCAGAGCCTCCAATTGCCTGGAATCAGTCATTTGAATCTCCTCCCAAGCAAGAGTCCCCTGAGAGTGCAGCCCCACCTGGCACCCCAAGTGGCCCCTCCCAGCCCAGGCACCACTCAACGGAGGCCACTCCTGTGGGGGAGTCAATACCCTGTGGACGAAGTCATTGGTCAGAAGGACCCCGACTAATTAAAAGCTGGTGAGGTTTAAATAATTCATCTCCTTAACTCCCATTGATCGTCCAGTTTAGTAGTCACAGACTTGAAACAATATTAAACAGCCTCCTCCAGCTCCACAGGGGTGGGTAAGCTGACATGTGCCCACCTCCCTGAGGACACCACTCACAAGGGATGAGGCAGGGTTAGGCAGGCTCAACCTGGGACACCTGTGACCCACTCAAAGCCCAGAACTGAGTCTAACATCAAATGGTATTTGGAGAGATCCTTTCCAAAGGTTCCAGTTTGAAACTCCCTCATTCCACCCCACCCCCTTTCTCTCCTCCCCTTGGCTATGGAGAAATCCTGTGGAGCACTGAATAAACAATGGAAACCCTCCATGTGCCAGGGGACTGGGACATGCGGGCAGGGGACTGACCGAGCTGCCAGGGGGATATGCAGAGGGACTGACCAATGCCGCTGTGGGGCCGGCCTATGTGCTGCAGGCTGAGGCCCTTGTTCATGTCTAGAAGTCCGTTCTTGGGCCAGCAGCCCATGGCGAAGCTGTAAGCCTGGAAGACAGGAGGTGAGAGAGATTAACAGAGGCTCTGATCCAAACAGACCCCACTCACCAGCCTCCCAAGTCCCCAGCTCTCCCCACCAAGAGTTCAGTCTTGCATCGCTACTCTGGGCTCCTTTTCTGACAAGTCCCCCATCCCCTTTCTTCTCCAGTCTCTTTTCTCCTTGACTGCCCCATCAGCATGTCCTGCCCTCACTGGGTACTCCCACCAGAGCTCCTCTCTAGAATGCTCCATTTACTAAGAGCTTCCTGATCAGGGGCTTCCCCTCACCAGAGATCCACTTCGCCACACAGTAGTTCTCAGAGAACTTTAGACAGAAGTTCTGTCTAAAGCCCCCAGAACTTCCCTGGGCTCCTGCTGCCCAGGAGCACTGATAACAGAGACTGGCCAGGAAGGACCTAGGAGACCAGTGTATTCAAACTTCACTCCACAGACAGGAACATGGACATGAGAGCTGGCGAATGACATGCCCATGCTCAGTGCCCTGGACTACTCGGGCAAGACTGTAACGGAAGGCTCTGAGTGTCCAGTAGGGGCTCCACTGAGGAGGGGGTTCCTGCCTGGTTGAGTCAGGTAGCTGTGAGGGGAGGACATGTGAATGTGTATGGGGGGGGTAGCAGATGCTCCGCTGAAGGTCAAGTGCTCACTTATGCATATTCAAAGCGGCCACCCATCGATCTGTACTTAATTGTTTTCCTGGGGTTGGGGAAGGAAGTGCTAGGAGAATCGATCTGCTCAGGTCCCCAGCATTCCATTGCCGCCCTCCATTTCCTATCGCGCCACCTGGCCGCCAGCAACCTCAATCTAGGGGACACATGCCAGGGTAAAGAGACCACTTTGCTTTACAGGCGTGACTGGCCTGTCACAGACAAGGAAACTGAGGCTTGAAAAGATGAGGCTAGCATGAGCTAGAAGGCTCTAAAATGGCGGGATGGCATTTAATTTCTGCTTTGTCTGCCAACCAAGTCCTTGGCTTCTGCCAGTGGGCCTGAGAGCTGGCTGACCCTTTAAACATTAACCACCCTCACTTCAGAAGTTCCCAGACACTGGCTGCCCTTTTCTAAGGGCAAGAAGGTGACAGTAGGAAGGAAGATAAAACCTGAGTGGGGTCCCATGGGGAGAGAACCAAAGAACTCCTAGCCACACTCAGCCAGGCACTGCAACACCCCGACTGCTCCTAGGCCCAGGAGGTCCTAGTGCTGAACCTCCTACTTGTGCTGGATAAAACAAGACAGGAGGAGGGACACAGTGTCTGTGCCAGGGCTCAAGAGCTGGCCAGAAGGCCAGCTGCCTTCCTTCCCAGTGGCAGGACTCCTCCAGGCCCGTGGAGATTCAGAAACCAGCAGCCAGCACACCTTACACTTCAGCACTTTCCAGTTTCCTTGACCACAGAGGTACGGTCACAGCCCAAAGTGCCACCCTCTCTCAGGCCACAGCCGAACCCACAAACTCAAGGACAGGGGAAGGATGCTGGCCGAGAGCCAGGGCAGAGCCAGGACACAGGCAGCAAAGGGACACCGCCAGTGGGCGGGGCCCAGCTGGAGGAGCTGCTGAGCGTGGCGGGCTGAGGCTGGGGTGCAGTGGGCCAGAGAGCAGTGGCGGCTGCCTTTCAAGTACTTTAAAATCACTTACAAAGGCCGGATTAAACGATCAGAAATTCCATTTAATAGGACAAATAAAGAAATAACAATCTACTCTATCAGCCTGGAAAAGGCGAGCTGGATAGGTTTTTTTTTTCCCCTCTAGAAAGGAAAAAGGGAAGGAAGGGGGAAAAAAGAAGGATAATGTGTGTTTACTCAAGCAAAGAAAAAAATATTTAAGTGATGTCGGGGAGAAGATTGCAGTAACTAGTGAAGAATAACATCGTCTACTTTGCTGTCAAATCACACCCGAATTTCAGTAATAGATTCTCGGCTGACACTCAATTCAATTCGAAGGTGATCCTGCTTTATCCCAGCCCATCAAATATTAAACACTTGCATTAGCAGGTGCTGCCGCTTCCCAGCTTAAAGCGGCGGGTGGGCGGGCAGGCGGGCAGGCGGGCGGGCGGCAGGGCTGCTAAGGCCCCTCCACTCTGCTCATGGTTCGGGGACAGGGCAGCTCAACGTTATCTGCACGTCATCCTGAGCCTTATCACAGTTAAGCGGGAAGACTACTTCAGATAACAGTAGGCGCTTGCCCTGATGCGTCACTGTGATTAGATTATTATTATAATAATGACTTCCCAAGATCTTCCACAGCCTAGGACATGCAGAAGAGGGGAGGGCAGCAGAGCCAGAGGGCCAGGCTGGACCAGGCAAGCCAGAGCCTCTGGAGGGGAGCAGAGGAACCAGGCAGGGTGGGAGCCCAGTCCTGCCTGACAGACGCCTTTCAGAAAGGGTGGCGTAGCTTGTCAGAGAGGGTATGAGATGAATTGGCGTCTCCACTGCGGCCACGGTGTCATGTCGCGCAGTTTCATATTCCCAGATAAGGCGTGATAACCAATTGCTGCCATGACACAGCCTCATCCAGCACTTCCTCAGGGGGGCATGGGGCGGGGGAGTGAGCGGCGTGTGCACATGGGTCTGCCAAGCTCCTAATAAGAAGGATTTAATTTTTACAAATGCTGCTTCCAGCGGGGCCTTTGCATACCAGCCAAAGTCCAAAATGATATTAAAACTGGTTAATTAAAACTGCTCTCTTTCAGCCTGGGCTTTACTCTTGCTGCCCTTGCCGAGAACGTGGGCGTGTCTCCCCGTATACTGACACACAACCCTGCAACATTCAAACATGATCACCACTCCAGGCCTACTATTCAATCCCCCCCAACACCTCCTGACACCTCAGTATCCCCTGACGTGGCTACCAGTCTCAGACAGTCACCCAGAGAACACAGGTTCTAGTGCAATTAATGCTCCTACCACTCTATGGTATGAGCACTTATACCTGCTGCCCCTCTAAACCTGTGTGTATACATTGATAACCCCCACTACTCACTTCTAAAGGCTGCTCCTTTCCCAGATGTATCAGCATGAAGAGGCCCAACCACATATGTGCTCACACACCCATATATGCCTCAGTCTCTCCCTCAGGTGACTTGATCCACATTGCTCCCTCCTAAAGGTTTGCAAATCTTTTTTTTAATGGTACCGGGGATCGAACTCACGACTGCACGCTTACAAGGCGGTGCTTATGCCACTGAGCTAAATCCTCAGCCCAGGGTTTACAAATCTTAGCAGAGTCTTTCCTGGAGTCCACTCAGAGCAAGGTAACATGGCCTGTCTCAGGGATTCTGGCTGGGAAGTCAAGGCTCGCCTGGAGGGACTCATCAGAACAAGAGAATCCGAGGCTGAGCCCTGTAACATTACCCACAGGGGGCACTGAAGAAAAGCAGGCCATAGCAGATTAAAGGAAGCTAGGAAAGCTTCATGGAGCCTGTGGTACTGGAGACCAGAGTATAGATGACAGGGAAAGGTAACATTCCAGGCAGAAGAAGGACAAAGGAGAAAGACAAGGTTTGGATGTGGCTGGAGAGGCTGGCTCTAAGAAGGACCCACACCTTGAGCCTCCCAACTCTACCAGTAACTCCAGCCTCAAGGAGACTGATGTGCTGGAAACCTGGTACTGAGCCTCGATGATTCTCTGTGGCTGTTATGTTTGTATTTGAAGATCTGTGTGAACACCTAAAACAACTCCTACCTGCTTCTCACCCCTCTTCCTCCCTCTCTCCTATCAGCATGTGGGCAGTGAGGGGACAGGGCCCAGACGCCTCCTGACCTTGATCAGCATGGGGGCAGGATTCTCCTTTAACAGCTCTAAGACCATGTGCCTGAGCTCCTTTCCTGATACTGGGTCCCAATTCTTTGGGTGTCACTTCTCCAGCTGCACCTCCATCAGCCATTGGGGCCCACCTGCCCAGCTGTGGAGTCACCTAACTCCAGGGTCTGTGGCCAGAGTGTGAGGTAGATAGGATGACTGAGGTGCTTCTGTGTCCTGTCCATAGCAGGCACTGATGCTGAGCCCTAAGAACAGGTGGAGCTGGGGTGAAAGATGCTGCATCTACCAAACCAACCCACCCCAGTCCTGTGCCAGGCAGGGATGCACACTTCCCTTCCCCTGGGCTGCTGCAATTTCCATGCGCAGGGAAGCAGGTGCTGAGCTACTCTCGGCTGGCTTTCCCCTCTCGTGGCTTTGCCCGCCTTGGCGGCTGCCCCATTAGCTTAGTGGCCAGCCATCTGCGACGGGCCTGCCGCACAGCCCTGCTGTAGGCGCAGCGGGTGGCCCCCTGTGTAACAGGGAGCTTTGCCATTAGCGCCTTTAATATTCTGACACCTCAGCACAGCCTGCTATTACATGCAAACGCTGATCGCCCTGTGAAATTACATTGCTGGGCCCGCGAAATGGAATCGTGTATAATCAGCCTCCTCCATGCACTGTCAGTCCCATCACAAACACGGCGCCCGGCGGCTTACGGGGGCTTAGCAGCTGCGACAAGTGTATTGGGTTTAATAGATGAAGTAGCCCTCATCAGCAGCAGCATCAGATCCTTCAAAGAGGAAAGATGAGGTATCAACAGCTGCTCTAGCGTTTCTGCCCACCCATATACTACCTATCAGGGACCTGAGAGTCGGGTGGATGCCGAGCAAGCAAAGCGGGGGTTAGGTGAAGCCTAGAAACCAGCTCAGACTACAAACAGAAACACAGACTGCTCAGTATCTTCTAGAAACCCCAGAGCTCCCAAGTCAGCACTCACATATGTCTAGTAAGCCCCTGTATAAGGCGGAAAAAGCAGGCCTTAGCCATAGCTCTGGAGGACATGCTCACCACCTACCTACCTTTTCAATCAACTGACCAACACTTCTATAACCAGTGAACCAAGGCCACAAGAAAACAGTGGGACAGGGTACTTCATGTGTACTTAGGGAATACCCAGCAGCCCCTGCCTCAGCAAGGAAGCACATTCAGGGCTCAAGAGCCAAACAAAACCTGCATTTGATTCTCAGTTCTGCAAG